AACTGGTTGAAATGGAAAAAACTAGCGATGGGAACAATGGAATTTTGCTATAATCGAGATACCACGAGCAATTACTGGTCAAAATAATCATTCGATGAATGATGCGAATAAAACTAGCATGCAAAAAATGCAAGAAATGCGGGCGCACTTAGGGAAGAGAAAATAATAAAAATATATTTACTTGTGAGTGGGCTCGCCTTGTGCCGATGTAGATGGCCGGTCCCCATCAGGCTGGTCCAAAAGCTGTCCAAATGCAAAGAAATATAAAACAGTGCTCTCGAATAGACTTACTTAAGTAAGGTTCAGTACTATGTGCTCGAAAAAAATAAACTCAAACCAAATCCTTCTACAAAGTGTTCCGTTATTCACAGAACAGACAAACCGACAAAATAATAATGGTTTATAACACTGTTCAGCTACGGCACTTACAAAGAAAACCAAGCCTAAGACTACGATTACAAGTCAACGACTAGACAGGGCTACGCTGATGATTTTTGACCATTTTTTACAAAATAACACAACGTCTGGGCAAACTTACGTCATAGCTGGGGGGTTGCAAGGGCGAACTATAGCTAGCTGCGATCGCCTTGCCTATTTCATTAGGATCTCGGCCTAATACGGCTCCTAACTTCAACGTATATACAACAGTCAGTCTTATCAGGGATTGCAGCTTTAGCCTTAGTTCGGTCAGCCTTTGGCAGATAAGGCTCGAGCCTTCGGGGGCGTTTTCTTCGCGAAGCAGCTGATTGGCCGCCTCCTGCAGGCTGAGGACGCGCGGCTCGCAGCGCTCCAGCTCAGCTTTCAGCTCCAGGAAGTTCTGGAACTTCTTCTCGATGGTGGCTTCCGGCGCTGTCAGATCCACCGGTTCTGAGGCCTTGATTTTGCGCTCGTTCCTTTCCAGCCAGCTGCACAATTCGCTCAGCATCGCGTGGAACTGCTGATTCTGAAACCACTCGGCTAGCAAAAGCTGGCGGGGACAAACAACAAAAAAAAGTCACTTACATCCATGAGGGCCCGTTGAAGCTGCACCTGCCAGGCGGCCGCCTCTCTGCAAATTTGGTCCCACCTCTTGTTGTCGGCCTCCAGTCTCGCTCGCAACTCCTCTGCTTTGGCCGCGTCTTCTGTGTGGTCGGCCAGATGCGTGCCGACGATGTTCAGCGACCTCACGATGCTCCTGTGGCTGTCCAGGTCCAGCAGGAACTCGTGCTGATCCTGGATCACGTCCTCCAGTTGCTCGATGTTGGCCGGGGGCGGTCGGCGCGTCTTCTGCGTGCTCTCGGCCACTTTCAGCCACTTTTCCAGCCGCCAAAGGTCGTTCTCCAGTTGGGCCCAGTTTCGCTTGGTGCACAGCGGACACAACAGTCTCCCCGCCTCGCTACAGAACGGAAACTCTTTGAAAACGCCTGCTTGCCAGAGACCCGTGGGATGTTTATGGATAGAGTTAAAACTGGGCTGGGCATGCTGCTGGCTAAAATTAGTGGCAACATGTGCGCGGGTGGGTTAAGATTTCCTTGCAGAAGTTGATGGTTCTTGTTCAAAGCGCGATTTTTTGTTTGGTGTTGCGATTTTTTCCATTCAATTCTCTACCATCCCTACCTTATCCCTCTATACCGTACCCACCCCATTCAATTCTATATGCAACGATGCCAAAACGAATTTTCGCAACTCTCTTTTGCAACTCAAAAAAAACCACTTCTTGAATTCAAGCATTTTTTGAGAAAACTGGCAACATTATTCAGCCCTGTGCTCTATCATAAATGCTATTTTTAACGGCCACACGTTATGGCAACTTAACAGTTCAGGATAAAATTTTCGATAACGCAGCAACACAACCGAGGTGTGCTCTATCTCCGAGTTAACTTAATTAATTTAGTTAATTTTCTCTATGTCTCCGACCCAGTTATCCATCAAACGTTAAAAAGGAAAAAAATACAGGATGCATAAAGCGAGATGCCCTTATACGAAAAGTCTATTAGTTAGAGAGAGAGAGAATTAACATCAAACCATCGAAGCCTCTAAAACATATGCACCGCCACCACATGTGCACGTTTTGACCATTTAGGTTGCCTACTACCCTACATGTCTTTGTTTATGATTTGCATTCGCTTTCAATTTCGTTTGTTATTGTTCTTAACCTATCTTCTCAAACACTTTCAATGGAGCATGTCAGAAGAAAAAAAAAACAACCCGCAAACAATTTGAAAATTTAGTAGAGTTTGTGGACAAAAATAAAGTTTATTTTCAAGACCTATTACTAATTGTTCTAATAAAGCTAACCTTATGAGACCACCAAAAGACATATTTTCGTTTTAAATTAAAAACTGATCATAGCTAAAACACAAAATTACGCTCTGATTAAACACAATTGTTTAATCTATTTGCTAAAAATTGATTTGATGCTGTTATTCTGTAGGGCTATTTCTTAATATAACGTTCGTCCATAGCGTGCGCCTGTTATAATATAAAGGTTTTACTGATACAACACACCAGTTGGAGGCACATAATGTGAGTGATACAGCACAGGGCTGATTTTCCCATCAATGGTTCACTTTTTAAAAAGGCCATTTATTTAGCTCTAGAATGATGTACAAATGAGCGTTCTTGCTCATTTTGCCTCCGAGATATGAGCAAAAACGGGACGGAAAACATGAAATTTTGGCATAATCTT